CCATATGGGGAGTGCCACTCAGCCAGAAGCTGGCTCATGGCTGGCCAGCGCAGTGGTGGTGGCAGGAGCCTCTCCCACCTCTGTGGCAGCACTAAGAATGTCCAACTAATGGTTTAGACCTGATCCCTTGGGGGCCTAAGCCTTTAGTTGGACATCCCCCGAGGGCTCCCTGGCTGCCAGAAGGATGTCTGACTGCAAGGTTAGGCCCGATCCCCCGGGGAGTGGGCCTAAGTCAACAAGTGGACATCCCCCAAGGGGTCCTGGACTGTGACTGGGCACAGGCCAGGCTGAGGGGACCCCCCCGCAACCAGTGCACAAATTTTTGTGCACCGGGCCTCTAGTTGTTTTATAATGATGTTTCGTTTGGGTTATAAATACAAAAGTGCACTGTGTGTGCGTGTGCGTGCATACACCTGTGTTGGGCAAATATTTTTTTATGTAGATTGCGGTCAAAAAAGTTTAAAATCTGCCTTCAGGGACTCTTGGCTTCCAGGTCAGGGAAGGCAAGAATCCTCAGCAGCAAGAAAACTCCAGGGCAGTGCTCTCTACCCAAACCACTAACAACCATGGCTCTGCAGCGAGCAAGTATAGTATCGTGTTTAAGAGCACACACAGGTCTGGGAGTTAGACTTAAGGGGAATCTTCCTTTTCCCACTCACTGACTACAGGACATTTATCTATAAAATGGGAATCATGGCTGTGTTATAACTGTGATCTGATGATGTTTAATGGGTTAAATGCAGGAGCATATGCTAAGACTATGACCTTAGCCTGTTTCCTGGACCACAGCAGGCTCTCCTGAGTGACACAAATATATAACTAAGGCACTTTGGTTCCTTTAGTAGCCAAAGTGAAGACAGGGAATGGAAACTAAAATTTTCTAAATGTCTCCAATATACCAGGCATGTCAGGAAATCTTATTTAAATGCTCTTATTTAAAGACTTTTCTAAACGGCGAGCTTTCTGTTCTGAAAGGTCAGGCGACTCACCCATACTTTCACAGCTGAGTAGTGTAGCCAGGATTCAGACCCAGGACTGCTTCTGTCAAAATCCCAGTAAGGTAATTGTCTAAAACAGTGAAGATGATGACCATAAAAAAGAAGAAAAATAAATTATCTTTAAAGCTCAAAACTATAATGTGTTTCCTTTCATGGTTAATGGTTTCTAGTGCAGCTCTCATCAAAAACGTGGTGGTCCCTGGTGGTATTATTGTAATGCCAGGATATAGTTTCAGGGTTATCACCATCCACTGGAATGTTAGATCAAGAAGGCAGGGTTCTCTTTGTTTACTACTGCATCCCCAGTGCCTCTTAGAACACAGGAGGCATCCAAGAAAATATTTGTTGAATGAGTAAATGAAGGAAACTTATTTCTAGAAAAGTCTACAAACATAGTTAACCTAAAGAAGCATGACACAAAAGTAGTTCATGGGTCTTTAAAAGACTGGATATCTATCTGGGGTTGTAATGACCCTTGGGATGCCCAAAGACTCATTTGAGCCCCATCTACACCACAGAACTACCTCTTTCTAACAACAGAGTATTATTTGGCCCCAAACTCTACATTTTTTTTGCTTCATTTTAGTGGGTTAAAAAGTAATAGAGTAGAAGACATATGTGATTACAAAATACCCAGGCCATTTCTGGAGTCTTGGGAAAAAGACTAGCAGGACCTAAGAGAGTGCCTTATCGAAGCTGCTTATGGCTGCCTAACGGAGTGCCCAGGAGTAAAACATCATGTTCAAGCAGAGTTGTTGCCCAAAATGTTTGGGGGTGGGGGGATGTAATGTATTTATGGTATGTCATTCAAAGTGATTAATTAGATTTGCCTCCCTAGAAACTCATTTTCAGGAAAATTATATTAAGCATCATCCACTGGAGGAGCCAACAAAATCATCATCATCATATTTTAAAGGAAGGAATAAGCAGCTGTCCTTTGCTCAGGTGGACAGTCTGCCTTTAAGCAGGGATGGGCTGGATGACCTCACCGAGTCCTTTCCTAGTTTATAATGACATCTTCATCATCACTGAGTGTTGGAAAATTTCTTGGAACAGTAGGTATACACAGCAATACAAATGCAAGTTAAGCTGAGAAGTGGCTGTCTTTTACAAGTCAGATAGATAATTGGGCGTTCACTGGGAAAGCAATTCATAGAGAACACAGAGGAGACTGAAGATTTCAGGTCTCTATGCCTATAATTCTGAATCACTGCCATAAAAAAGAAGTCTATTGATGTCTGGGGAAACTGAAAATGGTCATGGTAAATGGAGGCTGTATGGTCCATTTACTGCTATAAAGGATCCCATCAGCTCCTCTGTAGGTTATTATAGCTGCATTTGAAAATGTGAATGTTAAAGTAAGATCCAATAGCATCTACCCCAGACCAGATTAGAAACTGTGCTCGATAGTTCATCATTTTTTAAATGCTGTTTAATATAATGATTCACTAAAGAAATTTGAGTCAATTAAAGGGTTTGTTGCAGGAAATTGTTATAAATCTCTGGGTTTGGTTTTGTTTCACAGTTTTTCACCTTTGAGCAATATAAGAAATTGCTAGGATATGTGTCACTGTCGCCAGCATTGGTAAGTGAGAATATTTATTATACTTGAGTGTGTGTGTTATTTCATAAAACAAAATCTGGAAACAAAAAGCCTTTTGAATCCCCAAGCCCAACCACTAAAATATGAATTCGAGTTATTCAATGTTCAGCTACTTGTTGAAAGCCATCTTCCTAATAACTCACAATTTGGCTATTTTATAGCACCCAGTGATGAATTTATTATAATAATGATATGTGTAGAAAGGCTCATATGATATATGGTCAAGAATGTAAAATAAAGAATACATTTGTCAAAGACTCTTTTAAAGCCAAGACATGCATGTTTATATACTGCACATATCTATGCAAAAGTCAAGATGCCTAAAACTATTTCCTAGCAGGTTACTTTTCCAGCTTTTACTTAAGCTGTAGTAAACATAGGGCTGCAGGTGACTCTGTGGTCATATGCGGACTGAAGAGTCTTTTATAGTCAGGGAGAATAATGGTCTTACAATGACACATCTCAATGATTACATGAAAACCACTTGGTAATTCGAATGTTTCCTACCATCTCCTTTCCTTCTTAGTGACTTTGCGGCTTTTCACAAAACGAGTTAAATAATATTGACCAAGTACATGCTACAATATGTGTATGTGCTATGAGAGCCCCAGACAGAGCAAATGCACTGATTTCTCCCTTTGCATCTGCAAAACAACACAAAACAAAGTCAAATCTGCATTGCCCCTCCAATTGAAAACTCTCCTCAACTCAACCAGAGGCAGTGTTCTGAGCTTCAACTCTAATTACTTTACTTGTAAAGGTTCATTTCAGGATATTTACTTTGCCAAATAGGCTGTCCAAGAAGTATCTGTTGTTTAAAAAGTCATGCATGTCCCTTTTCAAGAATGATCCTATTAAGAAAACTACTAGTATGGCTTAGTGTTATGACAAAGAAACCTCTTGTCTAGTCTCCTACCTAAACAAGGGGGCTCTGAGGTGGCCTCATATAAAAGAAGTGGTACCATGAGTCCTAAAATTAGGTAAGTTATTTTTTTAATTCCTTAGTGTCTCCCCTTAATGTCACTCTTAACTTTAAAAACAAGTTGTTCAAGAGAGAATTAAAAACCTTTCTAGCAAAAGACAATAAAATATGGTCTCCAGAGGGCCAGCTGGTGGCTCCTGTGTGGAGCATTGGTACCATGTGAGAAAATGCAGTTCTCTCGACTCTCTTGGGAATTGAAACAGAAAGCCTTTGGCCACTCCAGCTACCATAACCGAATGCATGCAAACTGTATACAGTTTTCCCTTTCTCTTGAACTCATTTATTCCAGTTTCTTTCTGATATAGCTAGACACTTAAACAGCCATTAAATGTTCCTGGTGCTCCCACATGAAAAGCCATGGAGGCTGGGATCCGACAGTTACTGCTGGTCTCTGGAACAATCTGAGTAACATGATCTGCTGATAGCTGATCAATTCTTTTGACAAGGGACTGCTGAACACTATTTCTGACAGCAAATGTAGCTGAGTTTATAGAACAAAAAAGTGAATTACTTGGAAGATTGCATATAGTAATAAAAACCTGAACATCTGGATTTTAGCTTTTTCAGTCAGAAAAGTTTGGGACTACTATTTTTCCCCCCTGCTTTTGGCTTCCATGATGGAAGCCCAAGATACATGAACAAGATATTTGATCTTTTACCCTATGCAAACCTGTTTAAAATTGAAATGAAAGGACATGAAAGAAAAACATGATTAGTTTCTCCCTCTCTCCTGGAATCTGCATACAGCACCATTCTTCCTGTCCATCTGTATGTGCAACAAGAGTGGTTTTTGTAAAGCACTTGACAAAGGGCTTTCACACATGATTTTGACCCTCATAATATTCTGATTAGGTAGGGGCATTTCATATGATTTTCTCCATTTTACAGATGAGAAAACTGTGGCTTACAAAGGATTCAGTGATTAGACGCAGAGCTGCAGCTAGCACATATGGTGTCTTTATGTGAATTACAAAAAGGCACCTCTTTCTTCTGACTGACACCTCTCCAGGGCTCCAGCCTGGCAAGTGGGGTGCAGGCTGGACTGCAGGCTCCACACATACTTTTGTACATGGTAGCGCTGGTCCAAATCAATCAATAAATGGCAGAACCAGGGCCTAAACCCAGACCCACTAGCTCTGGATCCTTGCCTCCCCTTCTAAGGTTATAGAACATTCCTTTGTCCCTTTTTGCTTTTAGTCTCCTATTGGGAGAAAGCAGAGACTTCTGAAAAGAGTTACCTGTTATTTACTCTTAATTGGCATTTTTCTCCTCTTAGCTGTATATGGTACTACCTATTCTCTGAGAATTAGGGCTTTGGAACTAAAGAATTAATTTTTTTAGCATCTGTTTTGCAGATTTGAGGCTTTGTTTCATTTTGTTTTCCTGCTGTGTGTGTGTGTGTGTGTGTGTGTGTGTGTGTGTTAATTATTGTGGTTATTTTTGATACAGATTTTCTGAAAAATCTTTAAGTGTTCTATTTACAGAAAAAATCTAGAAAGTTCTTCTTTCCTACTGCAGAAATTCTTAAGAGGTAGCAAATAAGTCATTTGCTACATGTTCTAGATTTTAGTTGAGGCCTTCAGAAAAACATAGCCATTTCTGGTTCCATTCCTCAGCTTCTAGGTCTGGAAGACTAGTGCAATTGTCAGGTGTTTATAAAACAGGGGAAGGATGAATAAAAAATAATTTTGGGGGGATAGTAGTCTAGAATAGTGGCTCTAAGAATACAGCTGTAAATTTAAATGTTGTAGCTATACTGTTTAGTTACCTGAAATTTTGCCTTTTTAAACACTTTATTTGTGGTTCTGCTCCTTGAATTTTTTAATCTGCCCAATAAATGTATTTAAGTAGATATTTTACAATGAAGCTCTCCTTTTACAAGTCAAACTCTCTTTTAATTGTTCCATGTGCAGATGATTTAGTATTCACCTTAAATCAGTAAAACAACCTTTCTTCTCATTAAAGGAAAAAGTCATTCTTGATGGGGCCTTGACATTCTATTTTGAATTGTTAGGATGTGGTTTGCGGCTTCTGTAATTTCTTCTTCATGAATTGTCAGCATCTAATCAAGAACTAAAGCTGTTTAGTAATGGTATATGGTGCATTTATGTAAGTTTCTCCATTTTCATCATCACACTCAGTTGCACTGTATTGTGAGTAGGATGCTTAACCTAGTACACATGATAACTTGTTTTAAAGTATTGATTTATTTAATTTTCTAGACATTTGCCATTGCTGGACTGGGGTCTGGACTAACAGAAGCCATCGTGGTTAATCCTTTTGAGGTAGTAAAAGTTGGCTTGCAAGCTAATCGGAACACATTTACAGAGGTAATCATTTAAGGTTTTCCTATTGTTGAAGGAATATAAGATAAAATATTAAAAGTATATATAAAAAATTATGAACCCAGCCCGGCCACATGCTCAGTGGCTGAGCATCAAACTATGACTCAGGAGGTCCCGGTTCAATTCCCCGTCAGGGCAGATGCCCGGTTGTGGGCTGGATCCCCAGTGTGGGGCGCGCAAGAGGCAACCGATCAATGATTCTCTATCATCATTGATGTTTCTAGCTCTCTCTCTCCCTCTTCCTTACTCTCTGAAATCAATAAAAATATTTTTAAAAATTCTGAACCCAGTTCTTATCCCTTGCTAGGTCATATAAAATTATTGTTAAAGAAGTAGCATAAGAAAACGTCAAATTTCTCCCACAAGGAAAATGTTAACAAAAATGCTCTAAATGGTGGGGGCTTGCCCGGGGTGGGAATGGCTGGGGAGAGGGTTTTAATCAGGAAAAAAGGAGACATATATAAAACTTTACACAATAAAAAAATTTAAAAAATAAATGCTCTAAAGTCTGATGAACAAATACATATTTACACATTTTTATTTTAGAGTTTTAATGTAATGTATGATTTATTTGGAAATGTTTTCCCTACATTTGGCAACACTTCTATTTCATGTTATAGTAGAATAGACTATAGCAAAAACCACTGAGATGATAGTATTATTGTTTCTAAAAAATTTATGAAGTCATTTTTAGAAATTACCTCACTCCTTTCCCTACTCCACCCTCGGCCCTCCTTCAAAGATTCTGATAATCTGTCAAGCTTGTCTTTTGGTTAAGTCTGAATGAGCAAGTTACTAAACCTGTGTAGACATCACTACTTGGACTATGATGGGTCTTGACATTTAATTGCTGGTACATACTGTTCTGTGAAGACAGCTTCCCTAGGTGTGTGCTGCCTTCACTTCCTTCCAGTTGCCTAATAATTCCCGTTATCACCAAGTCCAACTGTTCTTGCTTTATTCTTTTGGGTGTCAAGCACAAGGTAGAGAAAAAATAAGGGAATTGGTATTCCAGATCCTTCCTTAGCATTTTAATTTAATTCCACAACTGGGTAGCATGTGGTTTAAATTGGTTTGGAGTATCTGCTGACCTGAATTTCTCTGTAGAAGAGTTCCCCTGCCTACTACTTAAGCAGCTGCTAGTGGGTGGAGACCCCCTCACTCCCACCCCACTTCCTGCCTGCTGAGAGCTCCCTGCCAGCTTCTTGAGCAGTGATGTGTGTGGGGGGAAGGAGAGGGCCTCTACTCACCTGTAGCTACCAAGGCCTGAGGAGGACAGGGTTGGCCCCCTACAGCAGATGGTATCTACTCAGGTGAAATCCATCCTAATTAAGGGAGATTTTTTTCAAGTTTCAAAAGATTATCTTAATTGCAGTGATATGTAGCACTTCAGAAAAGGTTGAAAATCCCTACATTACCCTAGTCTGTGTTTCTGTTTTGCTTTCTTTCTGTTCTTCCTTAATGATGGAAAGAGATGGTGAGGAATAGGAGGAAATGAAAGAAATACCTTTCAAATGCCCTATCAATATGGAGCATTTAAAACAACGCCTATGGAATCTGCTCAGGGAAAATTTTATTTGCTAGACTGGGAGAATTACCAGCTAGGAGTAAATTTTGGAACTCCCCATCCAATTCCTCATTTTACCTATTGGGAAGCTTGTCTTAGAGCAGCAATGAGTAAGCAAAAGAATAAACATGCCTTCAACTGCAGCCCTTTATGAAGGTAGCATGTAACCAGAGGGACACACTTGGCGCAGAGCACCAAGGAGTGCTCACAGAGATGAAAATAATGAGTTGTCACAGCACCTCTGCTCATACCTAACTGTCTTTTCTCTCCTCTGCCCTCAATGAGGTTCTACCTGAGGCCAAGTAAGAGCTGTTAATGTTTTGCATGTGTGAAGGCCTTGCTGGAACATGGTAAACAGCCTTCCAGCCCAGCATGAGAAGGCTGCATGTGTGTGTGTGTGTGTGTGTGTGTGTGTGTGTGTGTGTGTGTTCCCAGCTCATTTACACGAGTGCACTCTGTGTAAATTGTTTATGTGCATGCAGCTGTTTTTTAAGTGGAGAAGAAAGAGGCACTTGTTTGGGATCATTTCTTTTGCATAATCCACTGAACTGATTCATTGTTAGATATTTACTTAGAGTAAAAGCTACTAGGTACATTGTAAAATATTTTCAATATTCCTTTAACTAGTCAAAACTTAGCAAAGAAAGGATCACATGGGTCACACGTGTCAACAACTATCAAGATTCAGTAGCTGAACTGAGGTGGCCCTTTATATGCAATATTGATCAAATTGAAAGTAGTTATAGTAGTACACAGTCACACAACATAAACTATGCCTATTACAAAAAAATCTGAAAGAGATGATTCGGTAAGAAGAGCAAATTTGGATCTAGTTATTTAAAACTACCCATCACTTTTGGTCATACAGCCATTTCCTATATGTATGTCTAGGACCCATTAACTCCAAAGCCTTTGTCCACTGACTAGCCTTTTCTTTTCTCCAATAAGGGGATACCCCTGTGTTGAATATATACAAATATTAGGTGTGCTTGCTTTAGCATTTGTATGGCCAAGAATAATTATTGTTATCTTCACTCTGAGGCTTTGTAGATTGTCAAGAAGTATGAGGGTTGGGGGTTGGAGAAGGAGAAGAGGAAGAGAAAAAGAAAGTGAGGAAGAAAGGAATTAATGTAATGCCCAATGCATTTAAAAATTATACTTCTTTTTTAATTTCTTTATTAATTAAGTTATTACATATGTGCCTTTATCCCCACATTACCCCCTTATCCCCCCCCATTCATGCCCTGACCCCCCTGTTGTCTGTGTCCATTGGTTAGGCCTATATGCATGCATATAAGTCCTTTGGTTGATCTCTCCCCCTTCCCCCCACCCTCCCCTACCAATGCATTTAAAAATTATACTTTTTTTTAAAAAAATGTTTGAATTCAAGTATAAAGGTAATGCAGATTTATGTTAGAAAACACCAAAAATATATATTTTTTGTGTATACATATAAGTGTATAAATGTACTAAAATGATCTAGAGCAGCACTGTCCAATAGAAATGAAATGTGAGCTGCATGTCCTAATAGCTATATTAAAAAAATGTAAAAAGAAACAGATGAAATTAATTTAATACTATATTTTATTTAACTCAATATATCCAAAAAAGTATCATTTCAATATGTAATCACTCTAAAAATTATTAGATAATTTACACTATATTTTTATACTTAGTCTTTAAATCTCATGAATATTTTATGCTTATAAGCACATTTCAATTTGAACTAGAGCATTTCAAGTGCTGAATAGCCACATGTGGATAGTCATGTCCTTATAGGAAAAGGCATGTCTAGGGGAATTAATACAAACTTTTCACTGGTTATCTCTGGGAAAGAGATTGGAGTGGGGGAGAAGAAAGCAAGAATTTTAAGGAAATGGCTTTGTGTAGTTGAATGTTTAACATGAGAACACATTAAGTATTCTGTGAACACTTACTCTAAAAGTTGCTCATCATATAAGACTTAGAAAATACAGAACAGTAACAAGAAAAGTAAGTAATCCAAAAGAAATGTTCTAATGGCTCTGCCAGGATCAAGCCTACCCTAGGGAGAACCTTCCCAACTGATCCTGGTAGGAATGACTTGCTAGCCCATTTAGGACTCAAACAGTTCCTCTTTTGTTAGGGAAGGATAGTAGTAATGGTCACATCAAATAGTGTCAAGCTGTCAATACAGTCTGACATATAGTGATGGTTTAATGTGTTAGTAGTTATTATTACAAGATGCTTTTGATGCACATTTACATGTGATGATATATGCAAAAGTCTTAACACAGCACCTGGTACATGATAAGCACTCAACCAAAGATAACTATTTCTAGATGCAAGTTGATCTTATAAATCCTTAAGTTCAAGCAGAGACAGGTTATCTTGAGATATTGACCTGATTAATATCGAGCAGTCACAAGTGACACCGGTGTGGGCATGAAAACAGCTTACTGAGCAATGGTCAGGCTTCTTCTTTAGGTCATTCTCAGCTGCCAGTAGGATCCATTTAGCCTGAATTCTTTAGCAGGGCCTAAGGGCTGGCAGCCTAGTTCCAGTGCCTATTGACAAGGTCTTTAAACACAGGTCCACTATCATCAATACTAGCTGGGTACCTGCTTGCTGTAAATAAATAGCATATAGCAGCAGAAGTTAGAGATGACACTAAAAGCATTTAAAGCAGAATGAATTCTACCTGAATCAAGACATTTTCCCTCTGGAATAATCATATAAAGTTAATGAGGGTTATTAATCAAGCCTTCTTAGTCACGTCACATAAAGGCTGCGAACTAGTAAGCTCATTTTCAGCCTTTTCAGTCAATTACAGCTAGCAGCTGTGGTGGAACACTGAATGGATAGGTGGCTGCAGAATCATGGCTTGACACCTTTAAGGAAAGCAGAGAAGTTTCCTCAGAGGCCTATTTTGCAGGTAGATAACTCTTGTTCTGCCAGTGCTGTGAGTTTCTGGGGCAGCATGTCTCCCCTCCTGGGTGTGCACCACCCTACATGCTGCACAGTAATTGTGTTTTTTCCTATTTTGTCAGCTTGAGGAGGGGAGTCACAAATTAGTCCTTCAAACATGAAAATTTCCTAAGAAGTTGTGGTAGTTGAGAGGGGCTCTTCAGTGGAAGACAGACTAAGGCAGCAGTAGTTAACATTACACTCAAGTCTTAGAGGCGACAGCAGAGTGATGAAGGAGCAAAGGACTGCCATGGTTCCTGGTGCGCAGAGCATGGTCTAGAACAGCGATGGCGAACCTTTTGAGCTCGGCGTGTCAGCATTTTGAAAAACCGTAACTTAACTCTGGTGCCATGTCACAGATAGAAATTTTTTGATATTTGCAACTATAGTAAAACAAAGATTTATATATATTTTTTAATTTGTATATCTTTTTTTTAAATTAAATCTTTATTGTTCAGATTATTACATTTGT